GAAGGGTTGCCAGGAGAAAGCCTCTTCTCTCTAAAAAGAACATAGCAGCATGGCTTAGGTTTGCAAAGCTGCATCTGAACAAATCACAAGATTTATGGAACAATGTCCTTTAGACAGATGTGCCCAGTTTTAGTTGTTTGGCCATAATGCGCAGTGCCACGTTTGGCGTAAACCAAACACAAAATATCAGCAAAAACACCTTGTACCAACTGTAAAGTACGGTAGTGGAGGGGTGATGATTTGCTCTTCTTTTGCAGCCACAGGATGTAACAGATCACCTGGCACCCCGACTGGGTACCTCAGTTGAAGGATGCTCCTAGAGCTTCCTGAGGGCTCCAAGCACTCCAGCCGACACCATAAACACCGTAGACTCCTTCCGAGAGCAAGACAGGAACAATCTCTTAAAAGAGCTTAGAAGTGATGTGGCAAACCTAGCCACTTCAGACTATTTGGTTTATCTTTGAGGGTGTACGTTTGTCGAATGGCGGCTACTTCGACTACTTCGGCCCTTCGGCTGTAACCGAAGTGCCAATTTAAATTTGCAACACTGATCCAAAGTAATTAAAGGGTGATAAACAGCATTGCAAAAATCCATTATGCCCAAATCAGTTTTTTAAAGAGCAATACATCCCAGGGCCATAGTCGCAGGGCAGGAGGCTGGCAAACTGGCCCCTCCAAAAACCAGTGGTGAGGTCATTTTTGCCACATATCTCCCCTTTGGGGGGGTAGACTAACCAGGTACCTGACCTTCTGTCAGTCGGTGCCTGAGTTAGTTTGACAACCCACCCACAACTGCAAAGTACAAGAAGAGCCCCCCCACAACAAACGGGTACTTGGGGGACAGAGGCCCACTGCGCTCTGCCCCGATGTCAGCGCTTCTGCTGGGGCAGCTGGGTTAGGCCTTGGCTGGGGAGGGGAAATAGTACTTACCCCCTCCTCCTGGTGTCCCTGCGAGGATAGTTGGGGATCTGGAAAGGCTGCACATCATCCCTGTAGATCGGGTGCAGAGATCACGGTCCCATCTGTACCGTCTGGGAGATTAGTGTCTCACCTTTGTGGGGTAAGCTGCCGCTGGGGAGGAAGACCGGTTGTCTTCTCTCCCTGAAAGTCACTCTGCTGCTGGGGAAGAAGGACGGCACCTTCAGCTCCCTGGGGGCACAATGCCGCTGAGGAGAGAGACCGGTTGTCTCCTATCCCTGGAACTCACTCTGCCTCTGGGGATGAAGGACGATACCTTCGGCTCCCTGTAACTCACACTGCCGTTGGGGAGGAAGGACAACACCTTCGGCTCCCTGGAACTCACACTGCCGCTGGGGAGGAAGGACAACACCTTCGGCTCCCTGGAACTCACACTGCCGCTGGGGAGGAAGGACGACACCTTCGGCTCCCTGGAACTCACACTGCCGCTGGGGAGGAAGGACGACACCTTCGGCTCCCTGGAACTCACACTGCCGCTGGGGAGGAAGGACAACACCTTCAGGTCCCTGGAACTCACACTGCTGCTGGGGAGGAAGGACAATACCTTCGGCTCCCTGGAACTCACACTGCCGTTGGGGAGGAAGGACGACACCTTCGGCTCCCTGGAACTCACTCTGCCTCTGGGGAGGAAGGACGATACCTTCGGCTCCCTGTAACTCACACTGCCGTTGGGAAGGAAGGACAAGACCTTCGGCTCCCTGGAACTCACACTGCTGCTGGGGAGGAAGGACAACTCCTTCGGCTCCCTGGAACTCACACTGCCGCTGGGGAGGAAGGACGACACCTTCGGCTCCCTGGAACTCACACTGCCGCTGGGGAGGGAGGACGACACCTTCGGCTCCCTGGAACTCACACTGCTGCTGGGGAGGAAGGACGACACCTTCGGCTCCCTGGAACTCACACTGCTGCTGGGGAGGAAGGACGACACCTTCGACTCCCTGGAACTCACACTGCCGCTGGGGAGGAAGGACGATACCTTCGGCTCCCTGTAACTCACACTGCCGCTGGGGAGAAAGGACGACACCTTCGGCTCCCGGGGACTCACACTGCCGTTTGAGAGGAAGGACGACACCTTCGGCTCCCTGGAACTCACACTGCCACTGGGGAGAGAGACTGGTTGTCTCCTTTCCCTGGAACTCGCTCTGTCACTGGGGGTCGTCGAGCTGCCCCGCATCCCTGTAGGGCCGGTAAAGAGACCACGGCCCCATCTCCACCTGCCATCTGGGGGTCTTCCCATGACCAGTCTCTGCTGTCTCTCCTTATGAAGGGTTAGAGGTCTGAGTCTGCCTGGAGGGTAAATGGGGGCTGAATCGAGCAGAGCAGGCGTAGTAGGCCTACTCCAGTTCCCACTCCATGGTTACCAGGTGTGTCATGTCTGGCCAAATGTGCATGCCCATCCGGTAGTCAAGGATATCCCAGAATCTAAACTCCTCCGTGCTGCCGAAAGCAGGCTCCTCCTCCATGGCATCCAGTAGTAGACCAGGACCATCTTACTCATCCCCCTCAGGCCTGTCGAGCTCCTCCATCCCGGGGGTATGCTGCACTGTATACCACCAGAGGGTCTGGTAGGCATCCTCCCGCCAAATCTCCTTCCATACCAGTCTCTTGAACTCTGTTACCCATTCGTCCAGGAGCTGCTCTCCTAGGAAAGATATTTGTAGAGCCACTTGCCTCTCTTGCCGCTGCTCTTCACTAGGGGGCCTCTCGCCTCGCTGACGCTGCATATCCTCCAGGGCTTCATCCCAAAGTTCCTTTCTGGCGGCCTCCCGGTAGTCCATCATGGCCTCTTCTGATAAAGGCCCATCCTGCAGGGACAGGAGCTCCTGCAACCTCCAGTGGAACTTCCATATTGCTGTAGACAGGGACGCTGCACAATAGCTAGCTCTATCTCTCTATTGTAAATCCGTAGCATTACCGGTGTCTCTGAGCTGCTTCTCCTCACACTAGGAATTCCATCCCACCGCTTGCCACCAATGTAACGGATCACCTGGCACCCGGACTGGGTACCTCCATTTGAAGGATGCTACTAGCGCTTCCTGAGGGCTCCAAGCACTCCATCCGACACCATAACCACCGTAGACTCCTTCCGAGAGCAAGACAGGAACAAGCTCTTAAAAGAGCTTAGAAGTGATGTGGCAAACCTAGCCACTTCAGACTATTTTGTTTATCTTTGAGGGTGTACGTTTATCGAATGGCGGCTACTTCGACTACTTTGGCTGTAACCAATACATAAATGAGAAAAGAAAAGTAAAACAAGGATTAGTTAGATTAAAAACAAAAGAAGGAAGGTATGTAGAAGAGGATAAAGGTCTAGCTGACTGCCTCAATGAATATTTTTGTTCTGTATTTACAGATGAAAATGAAGGAAAGGGACCTCAGTTGAGAAAAAGGATAAATGAGTCATTTATTACACGAGTTTACAGAGGAAGAGGTTCTATTTCAACTGTCAAAAGTAAAGACAAATAAGTCAATGGGACCTGATGGAATACACCCAAAGCTATTAAAAGAGCTTAGTGGTGTACCAGCAAAACCATTAACAGATTTATTTAACCAATCATTGTTAACAGGAGTAGTCCCAGAAGATTGGAAGTTAGCGAATGTTGTGCCCATTTACAAGAAAGGTAATAGGGAGGAGTCGGGCAACTATAGGCCAGTAAGCCTTACTTCAGTAGTGGGGAAAGTGATGCAACCCATGTTAAAGTATAGGATTGATGAACATCTCAAAATACATGGATTTCAAGATCAGAGACAACATGGGTTTACTTCAGGGAGATCATGCCAAACTAATCTTATTGATTTTTTTGATTGGGTAACTAAAATTATAGATCAGGGTGGTGCAGTAGACATTGCTTACCTAGATTTTAGTAAGGCTTTTGACACTGTTGCACATAGCTTATCAATAAACTGCAATCTTTAAGTTTGGATTCCAATATTGTTGAATGGGTAAGGCAGTGGCTGAGTGACAGGCAACAGAGGGTTGTAGTTAAAGGAATATATTCGAAGCTTGGACTTGTCACCAGTGGGGTACCTCAGGAATCTGTACTTGGACCCATTCTCTTTAATATTTTTATTAGTGATATTGCAGAAGGTCTTGATGGTAAGTTTTGTCTTTTTGCTGATGATACTAAGATATGTAACAGGGTTGATGTTCCAGGAGGGATAAGCCAAATGGCAAATGATTTAGGTAAACTAGAAAAAATGGTCAGAATTGTGGCAACTGACATTTAATGTGGATAAGTGCAAGATAATGCATCTTGGACGTAAAAACCCAAGGGCAGAGTACAGAATATTTGATAGAGTCCTAACCTCAACATATGAGGAAAGGGATTTAGGGGTGATTATTTCTGATGACTTAAAGGTAGGCAGACAATGTAATAGAGCAGCAGGAAATGCTAGCAGACTGCTTGGTTGTATAGGGAGAGGTATTAGCAGTAGAAGGAGGGAAGTGCTCATGCCATTGTACAGAACACTGGTGAGACCTCACTTGGATTATTGTACACAGTACTGGAGACCGTATCTTCAGAAGGATATTGATTAGTGATGTCGCGAACACGAAATTTTCGGTTCGCAAACGCGAACTTCCGCAAATGTTCGCGAACCGGCGAACCGGGGCGAACCGCCATAGACTTCAATGGGCAGGCGAATTTTAAAACACACAGGGATTCTTTCTGGCCACAATAGTGATGGAAAAGTTGTTTCAAGGGGACTAACACCTGGACTGTGGCATGCCGGAGGGGGATCCATGGCAAAACGCCCATGGAAAATTACACAGTTGATACAGAGTCTGGTTTTAATCCATAAAGGGCAGAAATCACCTAACATTCCTAAATCACAATCAATATGGATTGACACCTGACATATGACATATTG